CCTTGGAACACTTCCCTCTGCCCACCTTCCCCAAAGCAACCCTGGCAGAGCTGGACTGTTCCTTCCCTTGGAACACTTCCCTCTGCCCACCTTCCCCAAAGCAACCCTGGCAGAGCTGGACTGTTCCTTCCCTTGGAACACTTCCCTCTGCCCACCTTCCCCAGACCAACCCTGTGTTCTCCCCCAGCACCTGGCGGCCGTGGAGGAGAGGAAGATCAAGTCCCTGGTGGCCCTTTTGGTGGAAACCCAGATGAAGAAGCTGGAGATCAAACTGCGCCACTTTGAGGAGCTGGAGACCATCATGGACCGGGAGAAGGAGGCAGTAAGTGGGTTTGGGGGTTGGACCACCCCCTGCAGGGATCCTGTGTGCCAGCAGCTGGGAACCCGGGCATTCCGGCTGCTCCTCACCAGCTGGGAACCCGGGCATTCAGGCTGCTCCTCACCAGCTGGGAACCCGGGCATTCCAGCTGCTCCTCACCAGCTGGGAACCCGGGCATTCCAGCTCTTCCCCAGCAGCTGGGAACCCGGGCATTCCGGCTCCTCCTCACCAGCTGGGAACCCGGGCATTCCGGCTGCTCCTCACCCTGAGGGGTCTCTCTCCTGCAGGTAAAATCCACAGTTGCCTCCCACAGCGGCTTTTGAGCCGTGTCCCCCTTTATCCAGCACCGTCTCTTTGCCACAAGCACCACTGGTGGTGTCTGGGATGTGCTCCCCAGTCCCGACTCCAGGCAGGGCTGTGGGGCTGAGCCTTTGCACGAGGGTTCTGTCCCACAGCAGGGCAGCTCTTCCCTGCAAAGAGTGGAATGGGTGGAAACTTTCCTTCCCCGAGGGGAGGGAGCAGCTCTGCCTTTCCTCCCAGGCCCAGCCCAGACCTGGTTCCAACAGTGAAGGTCAGGTTTTCTGGGGGCATTCTCAGCAGCCCTTGGGAAAGCCCTGGAAGTGGGATGTGGAGGGGAAAGGAGGTGTGTTCAGGAGTAACAGCTTCAGTCTGTGATGGTGATGATGGGTTTGGCTGAGCTGGGAGGGCAGCAGCAGCTCCAGGAGAAGGGAAGGAAGCAGCGAGGTCAGGACATGGAAGAGGTGCTGTCTGGGCTGTCAGTGCTGGATTGCTCAGCAGTTATGAGGGTTTGTGTCAGATACAGAGCAAGAGGCTTCCAGAGAAGTGATTCCTCTCCAGGTACTTAACAGATGACTCAAAACTTCATTTTTATCAGAGTGATCACTTTTAATCCATTTTTTGTGTTGTGTAGTTGCCTCGTCCTTCTCAGAAGCCAGTTACTGTAGGTGGGTTGAAAATGTTGATTCATAATTCCAGGAATTCCCACACTTGCTCTTCTGTGTGAGTTTAATGGAATTTACACCCTCATTTGGCATTATTGGCATCACAGACTATCTCAGGTTGGAGTCCAACTCCTCACCTCCCAAAACTAAACCATGTGACCAAGGGCATCACCCAGACAGCCCTTGAATTCTGCCGGGTCGATGCCATGCCCACATCCCTGGGTCCCAACCACCCTCTCCATGAGGAACCTCTTCCCAGTGCCCAGTCCAGAGTTCCCTGATCGAGTTTGACAAGCTGTGGTCTCCTCTTGGAGCAGGATGTCAGCAGGAGTTTCTGGATTGCTCCACATCCTCCCCCGTTTCTGTCTGTGTTTGCCCCTGATTGGCAGCTCAGGAAATGGACCCAGCTCTTTGGGAAAGGTTCCTGTGGATTCCTTTCTTTGGGGGATATATTCCATTAGTGACAGGGGGTGTTTTTCTCCATTCTGAGGCGTATGACATTTTCCTTTTTAGAAATGTGCATACAGATTTTCCCCTTGGCTTCCTGGTGGTTACAGTCGGTCTTTTCACCTGTCATTGTGGATATTTAGGGGAATAATTAAAGCAAAAAAACCTCTTTAGTGCCGCTGCACACTGTGAATGTGTCGTTACTGCTGCCCTGGCTTTTCCTGCAGGGAAGGTGCAGGGACTGTGAGTGTTGACAGGAATCAGTGCTGCTCTGGAGGGTGTTAAATTTAAGGCAAAACACATTTATTCAGCATTTAACTCAGTAATGTCAGTGCTGCCAGCTCTGGTTGTGTGAAACCAGGGGCCTGGTGGGGGAGCTTTGCTGACCCAGAATTTCTAATGGCACGTGAGAGCTTTGCTGGGTCTGTTCAGGGAGGCTGGAAAAGCCCTCCCAGCCCATGGATCCCCCCTGTGCCCCAGCCCCACCTTGTCCCCCAGCCCAGAGCACTGAGTGCCACAGCCAGGCCTTCCTGGGACACCTCCAGGGCTGGGCACTCCAGACCTCCCTGGGCAGCCCCTGCCAAGGCCTGACCACCCTTTCCAGGGAGAAATTCCTCCTGTTGCACATTGGAAGATTGTCAAGTGTAATATTCATAAATATCTACCTAAAATTTTGGCTGATTTCCTGAATGGGGTTGTGTGGAGAGATTCTACTCCCTACTCCCTAGAGGCTCCAGAGGAGACCACAGAGATGATTTGGGGTCTGGAGCATCCCCCTG